TGGCGCAAAGTGGTATCAGAGCCATACAGTGAAACACTGTCAAACAAAATACAACAGTAGAACTATTCCACAGAGGAACTGTGCAAACAGTTACAGCTGTAGAATTTGTAAAACTGTTCTTTCTACTTCATAAGTTAAGATAAAGATACATTCTACCATAAGAAATTAAGTGAGATTGACCTCCAAGAAAGTTGGTCTGAGAGTTAAGACAAGAGACAAGTGAACGCCGATGCGAAAAGTACCGCCAAGGCCAGGAGAGCCGCTTAGGGAAAAAAGCTAAGGCCACTGAATGTCCAGATTGTCATTATCCGCAACCTACGGATGACAAATCTCATAAAAAATCTTACTGGTAAAACTGTACCTTCATCTTCAAAACTTAGAATTAAGAATAAAGAACAAATTATTATAAATGACATTGAGGAAAATATCCAAAATTGGAATATTCCTAAGGTACCAATTCATGATGTTTATAATAAAGGAGCGTTTAAACTAAAGATGGGTTATGCCATCAAAACTGTAGAGGAAAGTCTCTCAGTAACGCAAAACTAAAAAGACTTTCACCTACTCTCGAAAAAAGTAATAGAAAAATATAAAGAAAATAATTATAAATATTTACACATTGGCCTCATTCAAATAGCCGTAAAACCTTTGACCCGATTAGGGTTAAACACTTCTGTGCTTGTATGCCTAAGAGATACAAGACACAATATATTCACCGACTCTCTACTAGGCATGGTTGAATCCAGCCTCTGTAGCGGACCAATTTATTTTAACTGTTTTCCTAATTTTTCTGTTTCTTTAACCGACCCAAATATCCTAGACATATTAACAATAAATCTTAAAACACATGGATTTAACATGGTCCATGGTTCACAAAATCTTGCTATAGTCTATAGAATATACTATAAGGTCATGAATACATTAAGTCCCAATACCTTAAAACTTGATCAAAAAGATCAAACAATTTTGTTCCAAACAAATATAGAAAAATCTAATATGATAGTTCCAAAAACCATAAAATGGTCAGATATAATTCTACCCTAATCATGGGCATTACAGAATGCCAATCAACCACAAGAAATTCCTCAACATCATATTCCTAACCATATAATAGAACATACAGATGGAAATATAGAAATACAATTTCAAAATTTTCAAAATACAAATTTACATATACAAGATGATATTGACATTAATAGGAAGAGAAATAGTAAACAGAATATAAGGAAATCAATTTCTCACAACCCAAATGTTATCATATTACCTCCTCCTAGTCATCCTTTTCCATCCAATAATCAAATATCTTCATCCAATTCAAACATACAATTTCAAGGAACACATAGAACTAGAGATCATATTATAATTCCAACATATACATCAACACCTCATCCGACAACGTCTAATACTGAACCCAGTATAGACGAATTACAAGACTTCCAAGTTTGTACATTACAACTTGAGGAAAATAATGATGATATTCAATATTCAGAAGAATATATAGCAGCCTATCTAGCCGCCAAGCTAGAAAGGAAACAAAGAAAAATAAATAAAGCTTTTATTAAAAAAGATTATTTATCAGAAGAAAATAAAAATATCCGAGAATGGTATTTAAAAAGATTCCAACCACCTAGACTATTAGACTTACTACATAAAAAATATAATAAATTTCTTCACAAAGAAAGATTAAATATAGGATTTTTTCAGTGGCTAAGGGATATGTGTTTAGAGAAAAACATTACTATTCCCCCATTCAATAAAATTCAAACAATAGAAGAAAAGACATATATAAGTACTGATGGTACTACAACAGCTAGTACACATCCACCTGAAAAAAGTATTATACTTAAAGCAGGTATCCCAAAAAAGAATGAGCCTATACACTCCTCATCCTTCTATGATATAGTGGCTACACCATACAAAGCCATACCCAAAGAAATAAATAAAAAACAAGAATATATACCTCATATTGTAGAACAGAATAATTATACAAACCTATATTTACAATCTCTTGGAAAGCAAACTGAAAGGATAGAGAGGATAGTATCCAAAGAAATACCTACGATATCTCCCATTCCTAAATCAGTATTATTCAAACCACCTCCTGAGTTAAATAAAAATAAATTCCACATTGGAGAAAATAATAAATCCCTTATGGATCAATTAATATCAAAACTATCTCAACTAGATTTAAAAGGAGTACCTTCATCTCAAATCAATATTCCTGCACCAACCATTACTTCCCAAATACCTGAGTCATCTGACAAAGGCAAAGCCATCCTACCTGAACATGAAACAATGATGCTTACAGAAGAAGAACCCATAATAGAGGATACAATCCAAAATCAAGAAAAAGCATTTATGGATACTACACCTCTAATGGATAGCATCAATAAAATAGCTTATGGAAAATATTGGAAACCCATAACAGCCTTACCATATCATAAGAGACCTACTCCTGTTGATATTCAAATGGAAGAAGATTCAATATAACAGGCAGTATCTTATTCTGGAAGATCAATAGTCAATTGGCAAATAGATGGTCTATCAGAATTAAAAATATTAGATGTCATGAGACATATGACCATGTATGCCTCTGCAAATAAAATGGCAGGAAACCATGATCAAGAAGTTGCCAAAGCAATAGTAAATGGATTTACAGGATGGTTAAGGGGATGGTGGGATTTTTATGTGGATGATGATACCAAACAAAGAATTTTAAACAATACTAGACAATGGACTGGAAGAAATGAACAGAATCAAGAGGTTATATATACAGAAAGTGATGCTGTCAATACCCTGATATATACAATCACTTTACATTTTGTAGGCAGTACCTCATTACTAGCAGCAAGATCAGAGGATCTGCTTTCTAATTTACGCTGTCCTACTTTGTCCCATTATAAATGGTATAAAGATGTATTTTTCTCAAGGCTTCTAATACGAGAAGATTGCCAGCTAGACCATTGGAAGGAAAAATTCATAGCTGGTCTTCCTTATCTATTTGCAGAAAAAGTCAAAGAAAGACTTCGCAAGAAACATAATGGAATAATAGTATATTCATCATATATACTCGGAGAACTCTCCGCAGAAATATGTGCAGAAGGCTTAGCCCTATGCACTGATATGAAATTAAAAAGACAAATAGATAAACAAAAGCTCACAAAGAAAAAAGAACTTGAAGATTTCTGTGAGCAATTTGGCTATTACTTAGATAGAAAAAATATGCCTGATTATATAAAAAAGAAAAAGAAAAAATACAAAAAAGAAAAATATAAAACCAAGAAGAAAAATAAGGACAAAGAATATTATAAAAAGTTAAAAAGAAAATTAATAAATAAATTTTCCCCAAATACAAAGAAAATGCACAAATTACCGGTATGTTATAAGTGTGGTAAAATAGGACATTATAAACACCAATGTAAATTAAAGAAAAAAATAGAGTCATTAAATTTAGATGAGATAACCAAATCAAAATTAAAAACTATAATATCTTATGATTCTTCCTCCTCTACTTCTAGTGAATCTTATATAGAAGATCTAGACAGTAATAATCTTGATTTTATAGAAACAGATAGTTCTTCCACTGAAACCAATACAGAATCATCAGAGGACTGTAGTTGTCCGTTACCTCAACATAATGTTCATACACTCACTCAGGAAGATAATTTTATTCTGGACATTATAGATAAAATAACTGATCCTAATGAAAAAAGAGCTATCATTACTCAATTTATTAATATTACCAAAAATAAATCC